GCCGTTATAAAAATCCAAATTAGTAGTACATTAGGGAATGATAAGTAAATTACTGTAATACATAGCCATTTACAGTGCCTTGGTAAAATCAGAAGCCTCATTGACTTTTTTGCCCCTGCACTCACTGTATTATGAGTCTGACGTTGTATCGTTGATGAGGATGTATTTATTTAAAACTAAGCTATTTAGTGTATTTATTTAACTTAATAGTTTCGAACGCCTTAGGGGTGATCTTCTAGTTGAGAAACCCTGAACTAAGGGTAATACGTAAATAAACTGATTAATAATTTTTAGAGTGTATATAGCGAGTGGTTTCTGTCGTAGCGTTGCTTTTTGTGCGTGGGAATTATTTTCGATTGTGTTGTTTCTGTATCGCCAGGTTTCGTATCAGAGCTTGGACTTTATTTACCAGATTGTATGGACTTTCGGGTGAGGCTTTAGTGAGACGAAGAGCCAACGTAGGGTAATCTCATAAATCTGTAAATAATACGTAATCGTTTCTCAAGCGGTTCAATCGATTTATGATCGTCAACTTGCTTAGACTGCCTTAGATATGAAACGAGGAGTGCCGGCTTCATTGGAGGTTGACAAAGAAACCTTTGAAAAAGTACAAACCACAAGTATACAGAAAGCTATTAATCAGCATGAAGTACCAGCAAAAGAAAAGCATGTTCGAAATGCAATATTGGGGACTTATCAAGAGAAGGGTGCGTACACTTTTTGGCATGTTGTACGTCGATTACAGCTTTCCACTCATGCGATTACTTGCTGGAAGTTTTGTCATGTGTTACATAAACTGCTAAGAGATGGACATGAGAGCACGCTTTCCTGTTCAGTCAAGTACAAACAGCAAGTCAAAGACCTTGGGAAAATTTGGTCTCATGCTGGCCAAGCATATGGTACAATAATTTCAAAATACTCCAAATGTTTGGTACAAAGAATGGAATTCCAAGTCAAGTTTTCAGAGTTTCCTGGGAATTTCTCTATTTCTGATGATACGCTTGAAAAAATAGGTAACAATGATATAAATACATTTTTTGAATTATGTGTAGACATTCTTGACTGCTTGGATTCACAAATGGATCTACAAGAAGCAATATTTCGCACGCTTGATTTCTCAAAAGCAATATCAATGACTGCTGCAGGCCAGTGCAGACTTGCACCTTGTATTCCTATAATTTTGGATTCTAGTCAGATGTATGACTATTCAGTAAAACTCTTGTTCAAACTTCATGCATGTCTGCCGCAGGATACGCTTATAGGTCACCGTGATCGGTTTACAGATCTTTATGGAAAGTTGAAAAAATTTTATTATCAATGCAGCAATATGCAATATTTCAAAAGGCTCATTCAAATCCCAATTATGCCAGAATCTCCACCTGATTTTTTGTTGAAACTTGAACGCAGTCATCAGTTAGGTCCAGTCAGAATGCTTAATGAGGCTCCTCCAACAGAAATTGATCGTTCCCCGTCGCCAGAACCAGAGCCAGAACCTGCTCCAGCACCACTTATTGAAACCAATTTTGATGAGGTATTCGGAGGTTCCATGGGTGATTTTTCTTTCCACCAAGAGCCAGATCCACGTGATGAATTGATACGTCAACTCAGAGAAGAAATTGAATCATTGAAAGCACAAATTGTACACATGACAGCAGAACATGAGGAGGAAATAAAGCAACTTCTAGATCGTATAAGTGAACTGGAAAAGGAACTGATGGCAAAAGAAACACATGCAAAAGCAGATCAAGTTAGAATGCAAGAATTGCAAAAGCGGTTGGAAGAAGCAGATGAGCAAGCTGAAAGTGCTGTTCTGAAACAAAGTATGTTGGTCGATGTTGAAAAGAAAGCTTCTGCTAATGAGGATCTGTATAAAAAAATGAAAGAAAAATATATGAGTCTAGTAAAAGATCATGCTTTGCTAATGAGGAAAAATGCAGATGCGCAGAAGCAGTCTGAAAATCTTCAACAAAGTGCAGAAGACCATGAGAGCAAAAAAACACAGCTTTTGCGAGAAAGTGAAAGATTGCAACAGAGTTTACAAGACAAAGAGCGGAATCTTCGAGAAGCTGAGCAAAGAAATAAAGAAGATGCTCATTTGCTGTTTGTATCTGCTGTTGAGGCAACGGAATCAATGATATGTCAAGCAGTGACTGCAATGGAAGATCCAGTGAATTCCCAAAGCACTTGCAGTGCTGAAGCTTTGATAAAAACTGTTGAAAGTGCTATTGAAGCAGTTGAGAAATTGGAAGTGGGAGCAAAAGAATTTGTACACAATCAAACTCAGAATAAGGTTGTTCAAGCTTTGTCAACATTTGGTCACACTGTATCTCAAACTCTGCTGAATGGAATGGCCACTTGCCATCTAGTATCAGATTCTCATGGTAAAGAGCTCGGTGCGGCCTGTCGTTCCTGTGGTAGTGAATCTCTGGCTTATTTGTCGAAGCTGAAAAACTATCAAATGTATGAAAATAAAGATGAAGTTATTTCTACAAATGAGATGGATGATAAACTGCAAAAAATCCTATCTACAGCTAAAGAACTTTTACCAAAGATGACAGATATTGTTGGTGGTGACTTGCAAGATATGGTTGATCAGGAAATGTCTTCTACATCTCATGCTATTGAGTCAGCTGCTGCCAGGATTGAAGAAATGCTACGTGAAGCTAGAGAAAGAGATACTGGTGTAAATTTGGAAGTTAATGAAAGAATATTGGATTCGTGTACTGAGCTCATGCAGGCCATCAGAGCCCTGATAATTTCATCTAAAGAGTTGCAAAGGGAAATTGTAAACGAAGGCAGAGGAGCTTCTTCTGTGAAAGAGTTCTACATGAAGAATTCTCGTTGGACAGAAGGACTGATATCAGCAGCCAAAGCTGTTGGATTTGGTGCCACCTTACTAACTGATTCGGCAGATCAAGCAGTGAAAGGAGAAGGAAAATTTGAGGAAATTATAGTGTGCTCACATGAGATTGCAGCAAGTACTGCGCAGTTGGTTGCCGCATCAAGAGTGAAAGCGAATAAAACCAGTCCCAAATTGCCCAAGTTACAAAAATGTTCTAAAGATGTCAATGCAGCTGCTGGTCGAGTTGTAGCATCAACCAATGCTGGCAGAAAGCAAATTGATGATACTGGAGATGACTTGTCCAATGATCTGTCTAAATTCACTCTGACTCAAATTAAGAGAAAAGAAATGGATTCTCAAGTTCGAATACTAGAATTGGAACAAGCATTGCAAGATGAAAGACTTACAATTGGCAAGTTACGTAAGCAACATTACATTTTAGCAGCTGAAAATGAAGAAAAGGATGAGTATCAAGATGAAGCCAATAACAACAATAATAATGGTGAAACTCAACAGAAAAATGGAAACGAAACACCTCCATCGCAAAATGGTCAACCGAAGTTGAAGCCTCCATTGCCTGCAAAACCTGTTGGTTTACAAAACCCGTAGTTTGTAATGGACATATTTATGAAGCATCAATCGGGTTATATAGGAGTTAGCTTGTACTAATTTGATTATTAAAATTATTTAGCGTAGTCTTGTATTTACTTTTAAAACTGTCATGATATATTCAATTGAAGGAGCCACTGTTGCAGCATCTAACTATATACTCTTTAGGCATACTTATTATATTTAATAACACAACATGATGCAGTGGAGTAAACAATTTTTTTTATAAAAGCCTGATAATAACATTTTTGTGAATGGAATTTAATCTGTTCATAATATATAAATGTACCTGCCTACCTGGTTGGCCATTATTACACCAACTACTGCCTAAACTTTTGTGAATTTTTTACCATGCTTTTCTGTTATTATATATATCATTGTATCAATATGGCAGGTGTATATTTGTAGTTTGAGTAGTTAAATTATATCTTAGCATGGTAGATATTGCGTATATGATACTGTTTAATTAATTCTTTGTACTTGTTTTTTAGACAGCCAACAACAATAAAGATTTTGCACTTTTTTCTTTTTTGATTTCTGTTGACTAGACTATTGTGTTGTGTCTAACTACATGTTAAATGCTAAACTTGAGACATTTCAAAATTTCTGGTTGATATCACTGCAACACAACTATAAAATGTTTTCAGTAAGGTGTTTAATTCTGGTCGCAATGAAAAGATTGGCATTTTTATTATTATAGGTATATATAATATTTTACATAAATAAAATGTTGATACCAGAAACATCAGTTATTCAATATATTTGGTTTCAGTCATCTCCTGTTTTATAGAAAACTTTTTGTGGTGTTTGATATTTCCAATTTCTGTCTCTATATTGGTCTTGTGTTTTACAGACATTTGGCAATCGTGTTTTTCCAACAATTGTTATTAAATATGTCTGCTATTATTAATTTTTTTTCATTCTTATTATCAATAATAGATTTCATTCACTTGTATTTTTATGCTGGTTATGACAAGAAACCAACAGTCTCAAGTGATATGAATTCACCCTCTTCCAAACATATATTCGCCTGTTGAACATGTAATCAAATAGTACTTCATCATCATTTTTCTGTGCCACACCAATGAATCTGTGCTTTCAAAAGTCAGTTTTTAGTTTCATGCATAAACCAATGACACTTATATCTGTTCTGTATTATTCAACATATGCTTATTATGTATTAGCAATTATAGGATTCATATACACAGTATATACTCAAGATTGCCAATTATATATACTATTTACCGACGGAATGGCATATTTTGTTTTCATGAAATTAGCCGAGACCTTGAATACATATGAAATTGAATATATACAATTTCAAAATAATTAAGTATTTTTTCGTTTCTATGACTACTTTCATTACCATATTTGAAATTGGCCATTCCCAAGGCAAGCACCCAAAATCCAACCAATCCAAATTCCTTTATCCCTACTGAAGTATACGCCTTGAGCCCTTGAATAATAAGTTTTTCTACCTCAGTTACCCAGATCAAACTACCCTTGGGGGTATGATTACACTGAATCAGGAAATTCATAAATACCACAGACCCTAAGATACTATATTAGTCTAGATATGCAGGTATTTCTAGATAGATTAAGTAGATCAAGTATAATTCTCATTGTATATATTATGTTTTATTATGCAATAAAATATTACATAGTTTCACACTCGTTAATTAATGTAGATCTCATTGATATGGGGGCGATGCGCGAGTCATTTGATTTTGGGACGAAGAAAATGCTGGGACACTGGTTTCCAAGACACATGGGAAAAGGTAACAACGTCTAGTTGCTAGGTCATAGAAGTTTTCTGTGGGGTCCAGTGTTGATATTTGTATGTAACACAGGAATAATATGACACATACATACAATGCCTGACATCTTTCACAGGTCTTCGACAAATGCGAGCGGTTCTTCGCAAGATTGATTGTGTCATAGAAGTTCATGATTGTAGGATACCAATGTCAGGTAGAAATCCAGCTTTGCAGATGTCGTTATCTGCCAAACCGAAACTACTTGTCTTCAACAAAGTAGATTCAGCGCAGGTGAGAGGTAGCTTAATTTGAAATTATTAAGAACAATTTTGTCCTAAACTTGGTTCATTATTTTACAAGCCAACCGACAAAGAGTTGGAGTTGCTTCATGATCGATTACGCACGGAGGGTGTATTGGATTATTTGTTCACAAACTGTCTTCCTGGAGACAATGGAGAACTTGATGCATCAGTCTCTGAAGTTCGTAGTAATTATTTTATAATTGATTATAACGGTCTTATGCAAGATATTTTTTTGTATGAATGATTGTTATCTTGCTATCAGAAGTGGCAGAAGCGAAAAAGCATTTAAAAGAGAAGCCAAATACTTGTATATCGATGCTGTCATTAGCTATGTGTTTAGGTTATCCCAAGGTGTGTCGAAATCGTTAACAGAGATGAGAGATATGACAGAGAGGGTGAGGCTGGGATAGAAATGATGATTGTTGGGGTTCCTAACGTTGGAAAATCTTCACTAATCAATGCCCTTCGTAGAACACATCTTCAAAAGGGAAAAGCTGCAGCTGTAGGTAGATTACCAGGACAAACAAGGTCACTTATGTATAAAATAAAGGTAACCGCAATTTTTCCATGTAAGTTAAATAATCTAAATCATCCACTGGATAAGGTTAAATGAAGCAGTTAAAATTTCCTACTTGGCTTCGCACAAACAAATTCTATATATCATAAGCCATACAAATAAAACTGGTAGATGATTTGTACAACATGACGTGGTTTTATTTTAAGGTTTGTGAAAAGCCTTTAATTTATTTACACGACACACCAGGGATCCTAGAGCCAAAACTGAAAGATCTCCACAGTGGAATGAAGTTATCATTATGTAACACCATAAAAGACCATTTAGTTGGACCAGCAATGATTGCAGACTATCTTTTATTTACTCTCAATCAAAAGAAACAATTCAAGTATGTTAAGCTACTCTTTCACCACGTGAAAAAATAAGTGAATCAATATAGATAGATCTCAATAATCAATATAACTTTAAACAGATATTTTTTTAACTCAACACTGAAAAAATCTTTGGGATAAGCGAAATGCAATATTTATTTGTTACCTATTCTCCTGAAAACAAAAAACGTTTTACAGATATATGGAAAAGTATGGATTCCAGGTACCATGTGATGACATACATAAGGTGCTATTGAATCTTGCGATAAAAGCAAAAAAATATCAAAACCGGAAGGTTCTTACTGGAACTGGATCGCAGGTTATAAAAATACCAGACTACAACTATGCAGCAAATCTCATGTTAGCAGATTTTCGTGAAGGACTGCTCGGAAAATTCATAATAGACGATTTAGATGAATCCTACGATTCTATTGATTATGATTGGCAATAAGCATTTGATAAATAAAGTATGAACTTTGGATTTTGAAAGAAAATGTGCAAAATACTGAGGTGTGTTGTGTTTGTGTATAATAAATTCCACAGTCAAATCATAATATGTTAAATTACCACAAACATAAAATCACAGGAATTACAGGACATAAGCAAGTTTTTTGATCCCAAGTTTTCAATCAATCCAAAAACTGGTTTTGCATCACAGTGCTCAGTATGTGAATTGACCCCAACTCTCAATTGCACATCAATATGTTGCAAAGTAATACAGTCTTGTTCTGTGTCAATCTGTACGCCACATTTGCAAACAATAATGTTGAGATGTTTTTCAAGATAGTTGGAATGGCATATTGGGCAGGGCACTACATGTGAGTTATTTATACTATCATGTTCAGAAACAACATTCTTGAAAGTTGATTCATCAAACTCCTTCATACGGTCATATTGCATTAGGATTTCTCTTTCTTGTAGCATTAGCTCTAGTTTGATTTGCTCCATAGTATCAAGCATTGCATTGAAATCAGTTTCTGAAGTATTTTGCATCAGATCCCATTCTTCTCGCATTACATCGTCTACAACACTAGAGTCTAAATCAGGTTTGTTTTCTGATGTATCCACATCTCCCAAATCTCTGTAGCGTTGTAGCAATTTTGCTCTGCTACCTTTTAAGCGGACAGCGCATCGACGTTTATATGATTCTTTCCATGTTGGTGGTGATCCTAACTTATACAAATCGGCATGTTTAGAACTGGGAACCGTGCTACGGATTTTTTGAGACATACTCCACTGTACCTGAAAAAACTAACTTACAAACATAAAAATGTAGCTGTGAAACCGAAAGTATATAATGTAATTGCAGTTTTCTATCACCACGTGGAATAGTAATGACATCTGCCTACTGGCCTAATTGCATCAGTAAACAAATTTTTCAATATTCAACTAGTTGATGCCCTTAGACTGTTAGACGAGCATAGTTACTACTGTCAAATTATTAAAAAATCAATATAGAATCCATACAAAATTAGGTTTAGAACCTTCTATTTAAATTCGTAGAGCTGAATAATTTTGACTGCAATGTCTTTACAGACAGACAGAGCAAATGAAATATCGCAGTAACACTAAACAGGATATCCCGAGGGCGGAGGCCACGTGATTTCGTACAGTAGGAATGTTACAGTGACCTGCTATACAAATATCGCATGTGCATAACACAATACACCCAATCAGGCAGTCATCGCCCTTGGTTTTCTAAGGCCTCATATCACAGTATCAGTATATTTTAACCAACAAAATCTTCATCATTTTGTTAAATATCCCTGCTATATTTAGTACCGGTAAACTATAAACCGCGATTATAGACAAACTCATGGAAAGAAAGTAGAAGACAGGAAGAGAAATGGTCATGGCCAAGTATACATATCGTACGCCCTACTACTACAGTACTACTATTGGTCACGACCATCATCTTGTATAGTTAGTAATACGTCAAAGGTCACACAAGAAGCTGAAGCGACGGCTCGGAATAAAAATGGTTAAATACGGATCGGATGGATATGGTATTAATTTTTATCAAATAGTTTGTTGTCTTTTATGCTGATTATGAAGTTGCAATAATTCTCATACCAATATTAAAGCAAATTTGGTAAAATTACTAGCATCCTAGGGACTAGTTCGATTTAGAAACTACTAAAAATTTGAAATCGATTGGCCCATTAGTTATGGAGAAAAAAACTTTTTCCTCCAATAGAAAAGTTGCCTCAACAATAATAACGATTTAGCAATACAATGGACCTTTCCCCGAGCATCGACTTCCTTGTTTACATCGTGACATTGGCCAATCAGCAAGATGCAAAAAGTGACGTAACAATGCCCCCTTTTCGCATTCGCTCAGACACTTTTCTCACTCAGACAGATTTTCAAGCGTGGTTGTAAACATTACCTCGTTTTCGCGATTTTGAACTCTATTCGTTAGTTTTCAGTTGTGTTTAGGAAACCTAAATATAAATCAGATAATTCAATGATCACACTGTCTTCCTAGGAGCTTTAATTTAATTGCAGTAATAAAAATTAGTGTAAAAATAGCTGTGATAGACTAGCCTGAAATTCTTCACCGGTACTTTTAAAAAACAGATTGTTGTATGCGATGAATCATAATGATGGTTTGAAACACATACCCCATTTTACAGGCGCCAACTCGCAAAAGCACTCTTAAAATAGCCCTGAAAATTTTGCAATGGTAGGGTATAGGGAGAATTTTCCGAGGGTCAAAGGTCGGGGAAAGGTCCATCCATATGGTAACCTTGTGCGCAACAAAACTGTCGCAGGTTTTATACGGCCTGGGCAAACGAGATGAGCAGAAACACTTTACGTCAGTTATTTGCGCGTAGGATCTTTATGCGATTCTGTCATCGCAAAATACTGGCGACTTTTCATCGCGACAGAATTCTATAGGTGACATTGGACAGTTTATGGCTACTTCAGCGTTTTCGCGATGCTGGAAGCAAATGCAGAAATGACAAGATGATGCCTAATCTTGTCTGGAAAATGGCGGTTACATCTGTACAAGGCCCAGGAACTCCAGAATTTGACTACCATGGTTCGAATAAATTTCTTATTATCGTATTTGAAGGTCAAGACAGCTCTGCGATTAAAATTTTTACACAGTTAATTACTACCGTAACGTCAGCATCACTCGGGCGTCTGAACTTGGCTTGCCTTTCAAAATCTGCAAAATGCTGTTCAAAAATATTAATCTGCCAGGTCTACTCAATGAAGTCAGTTGGTAACAAGTTAGTTTGATTGGTTTATGCATTAGTATTTATCGACTAGTTTTTGTACATTATCTGTACCGGGATTGATTAAGACTTATATTTTCTCCCTGGGCTGACGAGCATTCAATACCGGTACCACAATACCAAGTACTGAAGTAATTTTTCAATTAAATACTTTAGTTAAATTGTGTATAAAATATATATCTGATATCAGTTTTTAACGAAAGACAGCGGTACTGCGTACTGAGGTATGAAAAACTAACGTTAGCAATATGGTGTTTTCCACCATTAATTTTTGATGCCGTTACTAATTCGACTAATCCAGTTTTCTTGGGCAAATTTTTGGCAGCGAAAGTGTATGTGACAAACATCTGAACATGTCGTTCAAAGTACTATTGATAAAATTTTATCGATTCAATCTTGCATAAACAAGAATTAATTGTGCAATGTACTATAGCAATGCCTAAATTAGCTGTATATTCTGACAATTAGAGTTAAATACTTCAGATAAGAAAGTGAAAATTGTTCCAATAAAAGTAGGTTACCAACCTATTACAGTATTATATCATCTGTTTATCTCATTGTTTTTAGTTCAGGCCTAAATTAATTCAATATCGGGTTTAATTTCAATATGGGAAAATACTCCAAATACAGCAGCAATTATCCAACCCAGTATAATAACTGGATGTATCCACCAAAAAACATTGGATTGCTCAAATACTTCACTATGAATTGTCAAGGAATTTGGAGAACAAATGCCTCTGCAATAAAAGGAAGTTGGTCATACGTTATAGCTACTACTGTGGTTGTATATGGAATGTATAAGATAACAAAGGCTGGCAGTGAGTATTGAATCAGTCAACATCATTGTGTGTACTTCATTAAACAGGGTGACATAATTGCTAAAATGCTTTTACAGAGGGTACCAAGTTTCATCAGAGTGTTAAAGATCAGAAGGGAAATTGGCTATATGGTAAGTATTTTCAAAGGTTCTTGTTTTCTTGTATACTCGTGCGACCAATGGCATATTTAGATATACCGCTTGGGCACTTTGCCTGATAACTTCAACAGATGTAAGTAGATTCAATATTTCTCGAGGTGCTGTGAATATTTCCTAGATAAATACATATAATCATTTTAATGATAAAATTCTTATTTTACAGGACCTCCATCTCAAAAATTCATCGATGAGATTCATGAGCATCATATCATGCATGCACCTCACAAATAAAATGTTTCATTTCTTTCAAGTTATGTTTAGTGTCGAATAAAAGTCTTATTTATGGCCTCAAGCGATTCAAATAGTATCAGAAAATATACCACACAGAGAGGGGTGAGAATACAAAAATGTACTTGTTGACAAAGAAATTGTTTGAATGACACCTTTAATTTTATGCCAAGAAATTTGGAGAATTCAGGGAAGAAATGACTAGCAGATAATCATTATTACCCAATTCTTATCCATTTCCTCATTTTGATTTTGTATCTGTGTGTGATTTGCGTTGGAGACTCAGCTTGCGTTTTTACTGCCGACAGGCACAGTAAGAGTCTCAGACTAGAGAAGTGATTGTAGATGCATCAGCAAAATTAGCAGGCTGATGGATGGATCATTCATGATAAATTTGAATGGACCCTAGTTGTTGATTCATAATGATTAAATGAAGAAAACGTGTAAGAAAAAATTAAACAAAGACTCCGATGATCTACCATATCAATTTCGAAGTGATAAATAGAATACACTCATCATGATACATGGTTAATTTAATAAGATGGATGAATTTCAACGAGACTTTTTAATATTAAATAGAATGTCAGATGACTTGCACTAAACTACATTTTCAGTAAATTTTATCCTGTATTTAGCATCGGAAATAAGATGGTAGAAATGAAAGAATTAATATCGTCAAAAATGACAGATACCTTGCACTTATCTATATTTTTAGTAAATTTTATCCTGAATTTAACATCGGAAACAAAAATTCCGATCCAAACAGTCGTCGCGATTATGCCATTTGTTGAAACTGTCGACCATTTTAGCGATGATGATTTTTCTGTTGCGCAAAATAAGCAGTCCATGGCAATAAAATAAAAGTTATACTGCTCTGAAATATGACAATCTGAGTACATATATATATGGTATACGACCAGTAGTGGGATTCAGCCGGTTCGCACCGGTTCTATAGAACCGTTTCACGGAATTTCCTGAGATCAGCGAACCGGTTAGAATTACTGGTTTATTTGCTAAAAAACATATGACTTTCTTGTAACAGAACCTGCTGAAAAATGTGACTTTTGTGATGGAACCGGCTTACAAAAAATTTGAATCCCACCACTGTATAGATTATAGAACTACTGTCTGATTATACCTTTGAGATAGAGAGAATTCGTGAAAATATAATTTACCGACATGCCGTGTTTCCCCGAAAATAGAACTGGGCCTTTCGATTTTCTTCCGAAAAATAACACTAGGGCTTATTTTCGGAGGATATCTTATATTTCATTTCACAAAAACAAAATTTCAAAGCAGAGAATTACGAGATTTTCAAATATATAGGGTGACCATATTTCCAATCCCTAAAAGGAGGACATATCGTTCGGTAGAACCACATCTCATCTGTGCCCGAGATATACATTATATATCTACCGAATTCTCTAGAATTAAAAATAGAAGTGACAATAGACGATGTGACGACAATGAGTTAATGCTTTTTTGTCTTTATTAAAAAAACATCTGCGCAATAATCGATTTATTTTTCCTTAGCCCACGAGTATTTGGAAGTTCCTTTAATCCTCGTCAACATTGCTGGGTTATATTTTGCAATATCGTAAAACTGGCTGCAAGAAATGTCGTTAAAATTGTAAACTAAAGTGAGTATGCTAGCAACAGACTCAAATAGAAAGTTTGTAGAAAGTAATATTGTGCGATCTTTATCAGTTCGCTGTAAAAGTCCTGGTGCTGCAGCAAATCCATTTTTCATGTGCCATGAGTTTACAGTAGGAAACTGAATTTGAATGAAGTTGCTTTTCTACAAACTTGCATAAATTTTGGAATTGGTCGAATAACTTGGCTTCATCAATCGAAACATTTTTTTGCAAGCAGATACTCAACGCACGGTTCAACAATTCTTCACTCGGTGTTTTGGATCAGAATCATCCAGTCAAAGCATTTGAATTCCTCAAACGAAGCTGTCCATTTTTCGAGGTATTATACGCATGACTCGTACAATAAAGCCACATCTGAGTGAAATACATCACATTCACGGCCATTTCCTTCTTCGCTGAGTCTACGCAATTCAGATTTAATTTGGATTTGTATAAACATGTTTTTTTTTTCTTTCTTCAATCGTAGATTTAACAGTGCGAAGACAAGCTTTGATTTCAATAATTGAGGATTTTGAATGTTCAATATGCCTAATTTGGTCATTAAACACAGCAACAAACGATTGCAAATGTTTTAAATACAACTCACTCACAGGATTTTCATAAAATCGTTTTAGAGCAACAGGTGACTTTTCAATAGACCGGAAATATGACTGCAGCACATGGTACATCTGAATCATTCTAGATAAACTTGGATAAAGTGATAGTCATCTGGTCACGCAGTGGGAAAGTAGTTTTTTTATACTGTGTATCCACAAAGTTACAATAATCCTTCAGTTCTTCTGTGCGTACAGTGTATATGCTGAAATATTGGTACGTTTTGTAAATAATATTTTCAACATCAATGCTGGTCTGATTGGTTCCATGGTGTAAACATTTATTCAGAACATGTGCAGGGCATCCTACCCCAATCAAATTTGCCAGGTCGATTTGCAATCGAGAAAATACGTTATTGCCCCTTCTAAAAGTCAATCGGCCAAAGTTAGCATTACAGTTATCGGCAGTAAATGAAACACATTTCTTAAACAGATTCATTTTGGTCAAAGTTTCTTTAATTTCATTCGCAATTGTTGAAGATTTCTCATTCGTGGTACTTTTAACTTAGACTGCAACCCACCATTTTTCCAGTCATAATTTTGTACAACTATCGGGAAAAGTTTTGAAGCCTTATGATTACTGCCGTCTGTCGCTACTCCGAGATACAAAATATCATGTTGTTGAATATTATTTAAGGCATGTTGAACAGTCATCGGGGCTAGAATATTATTCACAATAGCTTCAACTTTCGTCCGAGCACAAGAATATTTTTTTGAAATATTTGAATCTGGAAAAATCTTCTTGATTAGATTTGACGTACAATCGTTAGATCTGTAACTTAACACTGTAACTGTAACTGTGTGTAACATTTGCATACATGGACATTTTCACCCACGGAAATTTGCACCCGCGGATATGTGCACCCTCAGACATTTTCACCCATAGACATTGGCACCAGCGCCCGATTAACTATTAAACACAATAAGCTCGTGTTTAGGGCACCAAGCAAAGTGGGGCACCACAGAAATTTTAAAGCAGAATTTTATATAGTTTATCGGTGTTTATTAAAATATTACGAGTTCACCAGACGACTCAAACTTCAAAATGTTCGCTTATTTCCCGTCTTCAAGTATCATATTAACCTTTTTTATTAAAAATAAACACTGAAATTTCTTTTGGACACGAAATGGGCCTATGAGTCGTTTTCTTAAATTGTTGTTGTTTTTTCTTTCCTTGCCCATCACACAGTGTCTGGTTTGATTTCAAGCAGTATCTGTCACGAAAGAATATAATTTGAAGCGACATTACACGAGAGATGCGCAAAATACAACGTTAATTCTCGGGAATTAACTTTAAAATACCTGAAGGCTTTATATATCGTTTTTAAAAGAACGCCACCCATGCAACTTAATAATAGTCTGATTAGAACGGTAAACTCGGTAAATCAAATAAATATTAGTACCAAGCTGAGAAGAAATCAGAACTCGTCAGCTTTTGATTCTCATAACAGAACATACAGAAAATGGATAACGAACCAACGTTCTCGAGGGAAGATCGGACAAGATCTCTGATAACAAGGACCTAAAGCCTGCTAAATGTACAGAAAAAAGGAAGCAAACAAATTTTAAAGCGGGAGACCGGACAAGGGAGCTCCCGAAGTATGTGCATCAAGATGCCGCGCGCCATCTTGGTGCACATACTTCGGCAGCGTTCGGACAAGATCCTACAGCCTGCAAATTTCATACAAGTTAGCACTGTTGGGTTAAATAGCTTAAGCTAGACACCTAACATTGCTTGAAAATAACTAGGTTTCTAATAATCCAGACGGTGAAGGTTGCATTTAACTGTAGCATAACATATCGGGTATTATAAATTAGTAATTAAACCTAGGGCCCACAAAGCTCATCGATATAAATTCAAAGTGCTTGAAATAAAACGTATTTATTCCCAGGACCTGCACTTCTGGATCTGGAAGCCAAAATCATAACGCTCAGGATGTATTAGAATCACCAGTGGAAAACTTGGTCGCAAATCCGCAACGTTCGAGAGTTCTAGTGCCAAACAATTCTTTTTTGGTGGAACAAGTGGTGGCAGACCGATTACTTGAATTTGGCCTTATTTCCGGACAGTCTATGATTTAACAAAATTGTGATTCTACTTGTAATGAACGAACGATCGTCAAATGAGGGAGAAAGAGAGTTTATTTCACAAACAATGTCAACACTATGATAAATTTGAAGCAACAAAAAACGAAAATAATTCAGTTATAACCGGTTAGCATTATTTGTGTGGGTCTGGATGCAAGACCGGTCACCGAGGATCCTGACTCAAGCTTTAGATAAGTAATCAGTCAGATAAAGCATCCGCGATGTCAGCAATTTTACTCTAAAGTTAATAATACAAATTGTGGTGTTATTAGGTCACATGTAGTGGACAGGTGAGTGTGAACAGGTCCAGAGAATCAGAACAATTATCAAGATTAGTTTTTACAATTATTAATAATGGTACCGGGCTCGAATACTTGGAAAGCAAAAAAAAAATAATCAGGCAATCGGATTATCACAGATTCAACAATAACTAAAAAGATCGGGAACTTTATCAATGTATTTTTTTGGGGTGAACAATAATAATCATCACATTGATTACAGAGCAGTAATTTTTGTCAAATAAAAAATTTTCAATATACATACACACCAGTTTGGAAAGGCAAATAAGGATAAGATTTACATATTTATCCCGGGGGAGAGGAAAGTCGATTTGACGGCTCAACCATATGGGGAACCACGGCCTCTCGTCCGGTTACCATTCTATGTCGGGTATGGGATTAGTTAGGTAAATCTACAATATGCTGGTTTTTATGGAGCAGTTAATTTTATAGT